AAAAAAAAAAAAAAAAAAAAAAAAAAAAAAAAAAAAAAAAAAAAAAAAAAAAAAAAAAAAAAAAAAAAAAAAAAAAAAAAAAAAAAGCCTGCAAATCTGTGGGCACTTGATTCACTGCTGACTTCAAAGCCCTTAGTCATGAAGCTCTCTATTGCTTAGAGTATATAATCATGCAGTAATGTTAAAGGCTCTGAGATGTGCTGCAGTGAAGAATGCTGTTTAACTTTGATCGTATTATACCATCTAGGGTGAAATTATTGTGGTCCAAAGCTGACTCCAAGGAAAGCAAAGGAGAGGAAACAGAGGCAGGGAGCCTCCAACTCAGCCCCCAAGAATTTTCTGATGCCACAGTGGGCTATGGTGACTTTTCCTAAAGTGCTGTTTGCTAGTCAATGTGCCCTCTCTGATGTTCTACAAGGAGAGAACACCTCATCAAGCCAGTTTGTCTTTGTGGTGATATCTCTGATGTTGAAAAAGACCTGACCTCTGCCTGAAGGCTTCTCCACATTGACTACACAGATAGGGTTTTTCTTCATTGTGGATTCTTACATGCTGAGCAAGGTGTGAGTTTAGTCGAAAGGCTTTCTGGCATATGCTACACTTAAAAGGTTTTTCTCCAGTATGAATTCTGTGGTGTCGAATAAGGTCTGAGGTCAAACTGAAAGCTTTTCCACACTCGTTACATTGATGGCTTTTGGAGTGACTGTGGAGTCTCTGATGGTGGGTGAGGAGTAGGGCCTGACTAAAGGTTTTTCCACACTCCTTGCACTCACAGGGCTCCTCCTGACTGTGAATTCTCTGGTGTCGATTAAGGTGAGAGCTGCGCCTAAAATTTTTTCCACAATGGATACATAGATAAGGTTTCTCTCCAGTATGAATTCTGAGATGTTCCAAAAGGCCTGCATTCTGGGTAAAGACTTTGCCACACTCACTGCACTGATAAGGCTTCTCACCAAGATGGATTTTCTGATGTCTGACAAGGTGTGAACTCCTCTGAAAGGTTTTCCCACACTCATGACACTGATGACCTTTCTCTCTAGAGAGGACTTTCTGGTGTCCTGTAAGGCTAGAACTCTGACACACATCAGACTCGCAGAGTTTTTTTCCCGTGTGTGTACTCGCATGTTCAATCAGGTCCGAGTGCTGGATGAATCCCTGCCCACATTCTGAGCATTTATAGTCAGTCTTCTCTTTGGGCTTGGCCAGCTGCCTTTCCAAGTTAGAGCCTTCATTATGAGCCTCCATAGGTTCAGATATTTTCCCAGATGACTCTACTCTTCCACAAGAGTCTGTAACTACAACAAGCTTCCCATTCTTAATCCTTGTCTCCTCACCTGTAATATTAAATATATACCACTAATCACATGTCTTTTGATACTTGAGGAAAATAATCTGCAACTAAAAGGAAAAAAAATTAAATGAAGCCATGTGTACAAAATAAAACACTGTGGATGCTTGTGATTATATGATATAGTTATGGAATGGTACATAACACACTATTAACTGTGACTGCCTTTGGGGGAGGATGGGAAATTCTGGTAAGAGGTGACTTATTTTAAATAGTTTAAATTTTATCAAGTGATACCACACACAGAGAAGCTAGCAAGCAAACAAATATATAAACTGTCTTAAAGAGCATGCTGTACAATCTTGAAGATAACTTGTCACACAGAAAATTAAAAAGGAAGGTTAATTGAGGCCCCAGGGCCCAATAAGAAAGGGATGGCATTTTAACTGAAAATGAAGACATGTAGATGTGGTGCCAATTTTATCACTGACTAGCTATGTAATCTTAAAAAAGTAAAGTAAATTCTCTGGGCTCTGTGTCCTTATCAATAAAGAAAGAATATTCCACCATAAGACCTTGACAATAACATGAAGTTCACAAAAATGCCTTTGCCCTTCCTGATCTCCTTGGACAGCAGTAACTGCTCTCCTGTGTTCAAGAGAGCTTTTATATCCCAATGCTGTGATGATCTATTAATGTCTAACTCTCTCCCTGCTCCCCTGACCCCCAACGCCCAAGAGACTGTGAGCACATACAGAGCAGACTTTGTTTTCTCTAGCACAAAGCCTGGTACATAAGAGACATTAAACAAATATTTTGTAGAGACAGGGTTTCACTATGTTGCCCAGGCTGGTCTCAAGCTTCTGGCTTCAAGCAATCCTTCCCATTGGGCCTCCCAAAGTGCTGGGATTACAAGTATCAACCACCACGGCAGCCACATTCACTTTTTGTATTTAAACTATATACCCATCACTGATTACATGACACAAATTCATTTCTGCAAGGCTATTCAGAAAAGGATCTTTTAGCTACTTTATTCAGAATGCTCCCAGAAGAAAGGCAGCTTTGAAACTAACTTGGAAATTGAATAGAGGAGTAGGTAGCATGTAAAGCATGATTTTAGATGTAAAACTAGCCATTCATCAAACAGACATTTATTGAGGGTCTACACTAAGCCAGGGACTGTAGCCGACTCAGGAAACAAAACCCCTTCCCTTTTAGTCTGACAAGAGGAAAAGAGAAGAAAAGTAGAAACTACAATATAATGTAATCAGCTCGATGACAGAAGAAAACTTGGAGCTCCAGAAGCGCAGGCCGGAAAACTAACTCAGTCTTGGGGGACTTACGATAGGTCCTGAAGGATGAGTAGAAATTAGTCAGGGAGAGTGAGAAAAACATGTCCCAGACAGAAGAAACAAGGCAGGAGAAGCTCGGAACAGAAACGGTAAGGAGCAAATGGGAAATGGACCATAGCTTGGCATGATGGGAACATATAGTGCGAGCAGGTGGGACACAGGGTGACTAACTGTCCTAATTTGTATAGGACTGAGGGAATTCCCAGGATATGGAACTGTCAGCTAAAAGTCTCAAGAAAAGTGGGACAGGTTGATTATGCTAGTAAAAATGAAGGTAACCACATGCCACAACATGCCATGTGAGGCCTTTCTTAATGGGTATCGAGAGTCACTGAAGGTGGTGGTTTTTTCTCATTTTTACTTTTTATTATGGAATTTTTCCAAGACCAAAAAAAGTGGAATGGATAACATAACCCAGCTTCCTGAAGGGATTTAAAGAAGGGAGAAACATTATCGAATCTGTGTTTAAATGATGAAGATTGAACAGGAGATAACTTTACTTCAATGGAAGTACCAAGATGACACTAAAGCAAAAAAATAAAAATGAAGAGGCAGAAAGAAGCAGCAGGGATTGTATCAGACTAGAAAGAAGAAATGAAGGCTGGGTATGGTGGCTCATGCCTGTAATCCCAACACTTTGAGAGTCTAAGGCGGGCGGGATCACCTGAGGTCTGGAGTTTGAGACCAGCCCAGCCAACATGGTGAAACCCCGTCTCTACTAAAAATACAAAAAAATTAGCCGGGCCTGGTGGCACATGCCTGTAATCCCAGCAACTCAGGAGGCTGAGGTAGGAGAATCACTTGAACCCAGGAGGTGGAGGTCGCAGTGGGCCAATAATGTATCACTGCACTTCAGCCTGGGTGACAGAGCAAGACTCCATCTCAAAACAAAAAACAAAAAAAGAAATGTAAGGAACAAAAATTAGGAAGAAGAATTTCAATGACAAAGAAAATAAAGGATTCTGGGTGAGGTGGCTCGCACCTATAATGTCAGCACTGTGAGAGGCCCAAATGGGAGGATTACTTGAGGCCAGGAGTTCGAGACCAGCCTGGGCAACATAGGGAGACCTTGTTGCCACAAAAAATAATGATAATAATAAAAATCCAGGTGTGGTGGCACACACACCTGTAGTCCCAGCTACTTGGGAGGCTGAGGTGGGAGGGTCACTTGAGCCTGGAAGGTCAGGTGAGCTATGACTGCACCATTGCATTCCAGCCTGAAAACAGAGCAAGACTCTGTCTCCACACAAAAAAAAAAAAAAAAAAAAAAAAAAAAAAAAAAAAAAAAAAAAAAAAAAAGCAGGTGACATTTAGAAATGAAAGACAGTAGCCATGTAAATAATTTGAAGGAAATAAGAAAAAAAATGAGCACTGAAGCATGTAGCTAGGATTCTTTGCCTTGAGTGAGAAAGTAGCACTACTTGTTTTTTTTTTTTTAGAGATGTTGCCTAGATTGAAGTGCAGTAGCAAAATCATTGCTCACTGCAGCCTTGAACTCGGCTGAAGCGATCCTTCTGCTTTGGCTTCCCAAGAAGCTGGCGTAGCATTATTTTTTTAATTCACCCCTACAGTAAGAGGAAGAAAAGCAAAGTGAAGGTCTGGATTCCCTTTGTGCCCTTTCCTTGCTATTTTGTTCAACTAAAATATTTAGGGTGATGGAAGTCTCTTATATTTTGATAGTGGTCCTGATTAGACCATAATTATTTCCCATTTGTGAAAGCTCATTGACCTGTACACCTAAAAAGAGTGAATTTTACCATATGTAAATTATGCTTCAGTAAACCTGACTCAAAACAAAAAAAAAAAAAGCAAAAATACAAGGGTGCTGAGCAGAACCTCAGAAGGAAAGGCACAGTCCACCACATTTCACACACAAGAAGATACAATCCAGTTCTTACCCTTCTCTTTCTCAGGCTTTGTAACTTCACACTCAGGCTGAACCTGCTGCTCCTGCAGTCCTCTCAGAGGGGCTAACTCCTCCACCAGCATTTTTTGTTTCTTTGCCTGGTCTGGGTCCTAGGGACAATTAGGTATATGGAAGCATAATTAGATATATGTGGGTTTAGGAAACTGCTGTTCAGAAAACCACCTAGATGTTAAAAAAGAGAACAAAGAGAAACCGCAGAGATGCAAAGAAAAGGTCATATGGAATCTGGTGCACATTCAGTTTTCTCCCAGCAAGGGCCAGGAAAGGTTGAGGTAAGACCTATAGAAATGAATAGCTACACTGGAAAAAAACGGAATCAAAGCTTAGTAATTCTCCTTCTGCTGAACAGCCCATGTCTACCTGTCTGGCCAGAGATCTCAATTCCTGCATTCCTGAAAAAGAGCACACCTGACCCTTACCACGTGTTGTCCTGTTTTTCCAAGATCCAGCTGCAAATCCTCCAGAACAACAACCACGTCCTCCCCGCTCTCTGGGTGATGCTCATGCACCCGGGCCTGGAGCTCCTCAGGCAGGATGGTCAGAAACTGCTCCAGTACCAGCAGCTCCAGGATCTGCCTCTTGGTATGGGTCTCGGGCTGTAGCCACTGGTGACAGAGCTCCCTGAGCCGACTTAGTGCTTCTCGAGGTCCTGTGGTCTCTTCATAATGCAACTGCCTCAACTGTTTGCACAATGGCTCCTGTCCAAGGCCTTTACTGTTTCTTTGCAGCTTGAATCCCTCTTTCCAAGTAGGGTAGTGATCCTCCCTCACTACCTGAAGCCCCTCCTTCTTCAGATTCAGGGGAGCCAGGGAATGGGTACTCACCAATGCTGTCGCCATCCCCAGCTTCAGACTGCTCTCCCTGTTTTGAAAACTTTATTTCAACTGTATCTTCAGGGATACTCCTAAAAATATAGTAACATGAATAATAGAAACAGTAATAGTACTGCTAACAAGAACAATAACATTTTCTTGGGTTTATACATTTCCTATTATCCATTTTTTCTCTCTGAAACAACCATTTCTAAACATACATACAGAAGGAAAAAACTATTTTACAGAAGAATAACAGCTAATGTAAAAGGAATAATAGATTTGAAAAACCACCATTTTGTAGCCCTCAAAATAACTGAAGCTGGGCACTGTGGCTCTCACTTATCATCTCAGCACTTTGGGAGGTTGAGGCGGGAAGACTGCTTAAGCCCAGGAGTTTGAGGCCAGCGTGGGCTACATAGTGACACCCTGTCTCCACAAAAACAAAAAACAAAAAACAACTGGCTAGGCACAGTGGCATACACCTGTAATCACAGCTACTTGGGAGGCTGAGGAGGGAGAACTGCTTTAGCCCAAGAGTTTGAGTTCAGCCTGGGCAATCATAGCAACATCTATATCAAAATAGAAAGAAAAAGAAACGGAAAGAAAACAGACAAGTGAAAGTCAGACAAGGAAATAGGAAAAGTTTTTTCAGACAGAGAAAAAGAGCACAAAGCTGTTGGAAGTTCAGTACAGTAGTTATTTATGGCGGGGAAAAGGTTATATGGAGTTGGAATCCTAGAAAATATCTACATGTAAGAAAGACAAGTGAGATAAAACTGGAAAGGTAGGAGGAGAATAAAGGCAATAGTATTCAGGAGGCCAAGGAGGTCTATTTCTCTAAATGTGGAATGGTGGGAAGAGCCTGGGCCTTAGACAGGCCTGGGTTCCAATCAAGCCCTGTCACTTACATGGTGTGACCCGGGCAATTTACTGATCTTTTTGGACTTAGTTTACTCATTTGTAAAATGAAGATAATACCTATTTCACAGAAGTTTTGAGGTAAATGAGATAATTCTAAAGAATACAAGGAATTCACTGATTGTAAGTGAAATGATATGAACGCAGTTTTCAAGAGATGATAGATTAATCTAAGACCTGGCATAGATGCTTGATTCAAAAACAAAGACGTAATTGGTGGCCTCCGTGAAGGTAATTTTGGTAGTGAGAATAGCTAGCCAGTCACAGGAAGTGAGAAAATGGACAGAGTGAGCATAAATTACAAATTTCAAAAAAGGAATACCTTGAATGGAACAAGAAAGACAGGGTAGGTAGAAATTAGAAAGGGCTAATTAGAGTTTAAGTATTATTTGTGACTTCAATTACTGTCATTATGCTGATGATTTCCTTATTCTTCACGTCTGATGTCTCGAGTGCCAGACTTGAATTTCCTTCTGCCTATTTGGGACCAAGATACCCTATAGAAGCCTCTCAAATCCAACATGTCAAAAATGAACTCAGACAATTCCCTATCATCCTCTGGAGCAGGCCCTTGGTATGTGGGGATTTAGCATTCTTGATTTTGACTATGCTTGAGTGACCCTATAGATCAGTGACATACCATCTGTCATCTGCTGATACATGCCTTTGGATCAATGTGCATGTGGTAAGTGGGAGAACAGGGAAAGGCTCACTTAACCGGTGGCTTAGCCTTCAAATATTCTGCTGTTATGTATTCCTGAACGTATACGTAGTAATACTTCCCAGCTGATAATTATTTTTCTTGGTCAAAATAAATTTAAACTTTAAAAAGCCAGTTCCTGGAATTCTTAATAGAAGTAAAAAAGTCCAAGAAGGTGATGATTATTGGCCAGAAAATAAAAGATTGGTATGGTAATGATCAATATCATGTGTTAACTGGGCCACAGGGTGCTCAGATATTTGGTCAACATTATTCTGGATGTTTCTGTGAAGGTGTTTTGGATGAGATTAACATTTAAATTGGTGAACTGTAGGCTAAAACCGAATGCCCTCGATAATGTTGGTGGGCCTCATCCAAGCAGTTAAAAGTCTGACTAGAACAAAAAGGCTGACTCACCCCTGCATAAGAGAATTCTTCCTGTCTGAAATGCTTCAAACTGAATCATTAGCTTTTTTCTTTTCTTTTATTTTTTTTTTATTTAAAAATTAGACGGGTTCCACCATGTTGGTCAGGCTGGTCTTGAACTCCCGACCTCAGGTGATCCACCCGCCTTGGCCTCCAAAGTGCTTGGATTACAGGAGTGAGCCACCACTTTTTTCTTGCCATCAGACTTGGAACTAAAACAGCTCTTCGTGAACCTCAAGCCTATGGCCTTTGGTCAGGAACTACACCATCAGCTCTCTTGGTTCTCAGGCCTTTAGACTTGAACTGGAACTAAACCATTTGCTTTCCTGAATCTCCAGCTTGAAAACTCATTCTGAAAATACTGGGACTTTCCAGCCTCCGTAATGACCTACGTTAATTCCTTGTAATAAATCTCTTTCTAGATCGCTTCTTTACCGATATAGATATCCTACTTACACAAACATTAATATGAATACAGGCATGTGTGTGTGTGTGTGTGTGTGTGTGTGTGTGTATAATTTGCATTACTTGCATATATACATACACCTGTACTCGTATTTTATGTATATACCTGTATTTGTATTATTTTATGTGTACAGGTATCTATACCAATATTGCTATATATCTATGCCATATACATATATATATGCACATACTGGTATCTATATCAGGGCTGGTAAATATGTAAATAAATGTATGGTATGACACTGATATATATATATGTGTGTGTGTGTGTGTATGTGTATATATATATATATATATATATATATATATATATATATATGGTATGATTTTGTTTTTGTTTTTGTTTTTGAAACAGGTCTCCTCCTGTTGCCCAGGCTGGAGTGCAGTGGCTCACTATAACCTTCGCCTCCCAGGTTTTGGTGATTCTCCTGCCTCAGCCTCCCAAGTAGCTGGGATTACAGGTACCTGCCACCAAGCTCAACTAATTTTTGTATTTTTAGTAGAGACAGTGTTTCACTATATTGGCCAGGCTGGTTCGAATTCCTGACCTCAAGTGATCCATCCTCCTCGGCCTTCCAAAGTGCTGGGATTACAGGCATTGAGCCACTGTGCCTGACTGGGTATGATGCTGAATTAGTGAGTTCATTTCTATAATGTGATTAAATACATAAAACACAATATGTAATAAATAATTTGATAAACTGTTTTGAGAGGAGCTCCAACTATCCAGCTATTTGAGCCAGAAAACTGACCATTGCTTCCTTCTTTCATATCTCATGTATCTGATAAATCAAGTTCTATTGATTCTATTGCTTAAATTTCTCTCAAATCAATCAGTTCTCATCCCCTTTGCCATCATCTTTTCCTACCAGACTACTGTGACAGACTGGTCTGACACACCAATCTATTTTCCACAGGCAAACAGTGATCATTCTAAGGGGATATGAAATATTATTATGTCCCTGCTATGCCTGTTACATATAATGGCTCATTATTACCCTTAGGATCAAGTTCAAATTTAAACCATTTAATATGGCTTAAATTGTTTTTTGATCTAATGAACTACTTTATTTCCTCAAATTTGCAATACTCCTTCTTGCTCCTTGGCCCTTCCACAGCTTATTCCTTCTGCCTGGACCCACCCTCCAGCCCTCCAATTTTCTTCTTGTTAATGCCTACTCACACCTCAAGTCTCAGCATAATAAAACAATCAGCTAGGACAACCATACTACGTGTTTCACATATATTAATTATTTAATCCTCACGCAACCCTATAAAAAATACTATTCCTAATTTCATCGTGCAGAGAAGGAAAATGAGACGTGGAGAGCTGAAGAACTTACACGAGGTCCCAAAATCCAACCTCAGATCTATCCTCCAATATCTCTTGCACCCACAGGCCCCAAACTTTGGATTTATTTTTGCCTTTTCTCTTACTGTCACATCCTACATCTGACCCAGTAGCAAATATTACTGGCTCTATTTTCAAAGTAGATCAATACTCTGACCAGTGGCTCAAGATATCCTTATCTCCCACCTGAATGACTTGCAATTTTAAAAAATTACTCTTAAGTTTCCCTGATTCCATTCTTGCCCACTTACAATCTATTATCATCATGAGTCTCCAGGTAAAGATGCTTGAAAACAGAAGTCAGATCATGCTTTCTTCTGCTCAAAATCCTCCAAAAACACACACCAAAAAGACAAAATTCCTTACACGCTACAGCGCTCATTTAGTCTACACTCTTCCTCTCCACATCCCAATCTCCCTGACATCATTCCGTACAAAGGTCGCCTTTGTTCACTGCTCCAGCCACTCTGGTCTCCCTGTTATTCCTCAAATTCAAGCAAGCTCCTGCTTTAGGACTTCTGCACTTGCTATTCCCTCTACCTAGAAAGTTCCTGCCCGCAAAAGCCACTTAGGTCTTTCCACCCACCTTCTTCAGATTTCTGCTCAAATATTACCTTCTCGGTGACGCCCACCTTTAATACCTACTTAAAATTGCGCTCAACGGATGAAAAATATGCAACAGAAGGTTGTACTCGGTTAACTAGGTCCACAGCTTCATCACTCTAGGCCCCAGGACCGCCACCTCCGCGGCGGACCCCGCCCCCGCGGTCGAGGGAACGTCCTCAGCATCCGCGGGGAACCAGCTGCTCCCCAAACCCATAGGCCGCAGTTCTGCCCCAGCCCGGAGCCCGACTTGAGTCCGCCTGCCTGGCCAAGGGGCCGCAGAAAGGCCAAACGCTCTGAAACAGCGTCTTAGCGCATCGCCGAGGGTCAGCTGTAGCTCTTCGGAGCACTGTCTTCTCCGCTCTAGGAACGCTGGAGGACCGCGACTCGATGGTGCCGCCGCTTAGGCCTCGCAGAAAAGGGCTAACTTGGGTCCAGCCTGCTGAGAGGTCCGATGGCTGGTAGGGTCATTTCCTTGTGAGCTGAGATTGTTGGTTTTTCTTTTCTCATTTTAAAGCCAAATGTTTATTTCATTCATGTAAAAACAGGCCAGCTCCGTTGAGTGTTAATCACAGCCAGCGTTTTCACTTTGCTCACATAAATAAAACATACGTGGCCATTTTTTCCCCAATTAAAAAATTCATCATTGGAAAAAATAATTGTTAAAGTATTTTGAAAATTAAACAGTGGACATATGTTTGATTGAAAGGTTTAAAGTAATAAGAAATTTAGTCTATTACTGTGAGAGAAAATAAATCAACAACATTTTGCAATGAAGGTAGGCTTCAGGGTGAATAAAAGCAACATATATGATTTTATCAAAATAAATTCTACAACAGAGAACAGAAATAGTCTGTCTTGCCCACAGTATCACAAACTGGGTTTTATAGTTTTTGTATAAGATAAACTCTTTGAACACTTAGACATTGCTGGTGGGAATATAAATTAGTTCTGCCACCGTGGAAAGCAATTTGGAAATTTCTTAAAGAACTTGAAACAGAACTTTTATTCCACCCAGCAATTCCATAATTGGGTATACGTCCAGAGGAATATAAACTGTTCTGCCGTAAAGACCCATGCATGCTTATGTTCATCACAGCATTTTTCACAATAGCAGAGACATGGAATCAACCTAGATCCTCATCAGTGGTGGACTGGATAAAGAAAATATGGTACGTACACCTTGGAATATCATGCAGCTATAAGAATGAGATCACGACCTTTGCAGCAACATGATGCAGCTGGAGGCCATTTATCCTAAGCCAATTAACAGGAAGAGAAAACCAAATACTGCATGTTCTACTTATAAGGGGGTGCTAAACATTGAGTAGACATGGACACAAACGGGGACAACAGACACAAGGACTTACTTGAGGGTGGAGGGTGAATGGAAAGTGAAGATTGAAAAGCGTACTATGCTACCACCTGGGTGACAAAATCATTCATACACCAAACCCCAGCAGCATGCACTTTATTCATGTAACAAACTTGCATATGTACCCACTGAACCTAAAACAAAAGTTGGAAGAAAGAAAAAAAAAATGAACTCTTTAAAAAATCTTAACAAACTTTTCTGTTTAACTTATCAGTTGATAGAAACTTTGAAATATTAAATATACAAACCATTGTACTATGACATGTAATTTATTCAGTGTTTCAAGCATTGAAATTATCATAACAGAAAAGAAAAAACAACCAGTTTTATCACAAGCAGTTATCTTTGCTTCTTGGGTGTCTGAATGTATGTTTGAAAGCATATTTTTAAAGTAAAAATTAAATATAAACTTTTCATTAGGCCAACAAATCTAGTCAGCATAAATGTGTTACTAATTAGAAGTCAATATTCCTTCTTGAAGAGAAAACGCGTATATCTTATTTTTAATATCTAGAAAGCACTTTTTTCAAAAATTATATAAGGGATAGACATAAAGAAAATTTAAATAGAAAGGAAATACTATATCCTATTATTTAGTCCCTCTCTAAAACTTCCTACCCTGACTAGTGTCTTAAATCTGTCACTTTTATTATCAATACTGAGATTATTGGCATTGCATTGGATATCTCATGAAATCAAAACCTTTAAAATAGCTAGACAAAGAAGAGTTTTTTAAAAAATTTTCAAGGTGTGCATTTTTCATTTAAACAGTCCATTTGTATCTTTTGGGAGCAGTAGGGGTAGATAAGGTGAGAATAATTTAAAACACCATTATCATCAGGACAGACAACATACAGAAAATACAAATCAATTTTCAAACTTGAGTTTTCATCTTCAAGATTATCCTCATTTTTGTAAACTATAGTGATCATGTTTCTACCAGGTTCATTCACAAGATATTCAAGATAAGAACTTTCTTTTCCATACCATCAATATGCTGCAGCATAAGATTTGCAGTTCTTATCTTTTGGTAATGATGCTTCCTGTTCTTCTCTCTGCTTCTACCCACACAGAAAGGCCTCATTCATTACTCTTGAGTTTTTAAATAAATTATTTGTCCAGTGATTATTCTAAACAATCAAAGCCTACAAATGAATCTTACAAATTTAACCGATAGTTTAATATTAGGAAACCTATAACTTTAAGTCACCATATTAGTAGGCTGATAAGGAAAAATCATATAATCTCCACAAATGCTACAATGTCATTTCATAAAATTCAACATATATTTCTGACTAAAAGCAGAAACTCCTAATAAAAAACAAATAGATGGATGCTTCCTTTACAAGGCAAAAATAAACCCATCTCAAATATACCAGAAGCCTCCCTTATATTTGATGGTGAAATCTTAGACATATCCCCCATAAATTCAGATTAAAATGTAGCTGAATTAATTAGGCTAAGAATAAAAAGGCAGCAATTTTGCTAAATCTATAATTTCTTATTCCCTAAATTGCTGGTAGCTAAGGTTAAGAAACACCTTCCCTTATGCTATAGAACTTTAAAAAAAAACAAGCATGAAATACCCATTAGACCCCTTATGCCAGTGGGAGATTTTTATATTTCGTGAAACACTATTTTTGATAATTCCATAAAGTCATATAATAATGGTCTCTGCCGGGCGCGGTGGCTCAAGCCTGTAATCCCAGCACTTTGGGAGGCCGAGGCAGGTGGATCACGAGGTCAAGAGATCGAGACCATCCTGGTCAACATGGTGAAACCCCGTCTCTACTAAA